ATTTCAAGACTAATGTTTTGTTGTTGTTGTTGTTAAATTGTGCAGAATCAAAGGAACCGATTTTCAAGTTGTAGTAGAGAAGGATGAAATGGTGGAAGTGTCTTTCACAAGAACATGGAACCCTTCATCTAAAGCCAAATTTGTGCCGTTGAGCATTGATAGAAGGTACTGCTTCCTCCTCATAATATAAAACATGATTTTGTCGTTACGCTAAGTTAACTACTCCCTCCGTCCTTTTATTAGATGCAAATAGCATTTATTATTCACGTAATAAAGAGAAGTAGGCATCGGTTCGGAGGGAGTACTATTTTATGGCTAAAATTGTTATGAACTTTCTTTAGGGTCATAATGCTTCAAGGTTCATCAGGGTTCTACTGTTATGGTATCTATGAGAAATTAAAGGGATGGCCTGGATTCAATCTTCCTCAAACAAGGATTGTTTTCAAGCTTAATAAAAAGTGGTAAAAACCTTTTCTTATTCTACTTTCTCATTGTTAATGTCTTAAATTAGGTCGTACTCTCTCTCTATTCAAAAATAATAGTCACGTATATTAATTGGACACGTGCATATAAAATCGTCACTTACTTTATAGCAAAAACAAGGGGATGGTAGTACATATACCTCATAATGTCATAATAATTATTAATTGGTGTTGCAAACATAAAGAGTTGATAGCCGACCCTAAATCATTTTGGGTCTAAGGCCTTGTTGTTGTTGTAATAGCAAGGAGAGTTGATAGGAATGAGCCAACTATTATAAGACTTACAAAGTATTTTAGTAAAATCACCGTTAACATTTAATCATTAACCTTTAGCTTAGGGGACTAGTAGATTTTAAGGTATGAGGCCAATATGGGTTTAGAATGGCTTGATTAATAAAATTTCAATTTCAAACCCATATCTCAACCCTATAACGTATAGTATTGGCTTATTGGGTTTCGAAACTCAAAGGGGAGGTCTAACTCATATCATACCTCTCAAGTATCAAATAAAAAGAAAATATGTACTCCTTAACAACAACCAACATAAAGGATTAAGAATCGAGTTCTAATCAATCCTATGCCACCTTGTTTTTATTTGTAATTCCAAATCTATACCACTATGTGAACAGTGAACCTTACACCTCCTATAGGGTATGTATAATGTGACGAATAATTCTAGACGGATAGAGTAAAGTTATAAGGCTGAGTTAAACAAGCAGTTTTTGACAGTTAAATTGATGAACAGGTTTCAGTATATGGCAGTAGCAGACAACAGACAAAGAAAAATGCCACTTCCAGATGACAGGTCACCAGGAAGGTGCCAAATCCTTGAACCTCCTGAAGCAGTGCTTCTTACAAACCCAATTGAAGAAGAATATAAAGGAGAGGTATATATATATATATTGATCCAACTCACTATTATACAGGTTTACAATATATTTTATTGTATGATAAAATGTGTACTTTTATATATATATATATATATATATATATATATATATATATATATATATATATATATAGGACTAGGTGGATGACAAATACCAGTATTCATGTGAGGACAGAGATCTCCAAGTCCATGGATGGATATGCACCGATCCCCCTACCGGAGTTTGGCAAATAACGCCCAGTGACGAGTTCAGAACCGGTGGGCCCTTCAAGATAAATCTAGCCTCTCATGTTGGCCCTTACAACCTTGCAGTAAGTAAATTATTAGATGCACGTGAAAGTATTAACTTTTTGTACCCCATCTTAGAACTAGGCAATTGATGTGAAAATTTGAAGGTACTCCAATTAGTCCAATATGGTTACTACATTGAAGTAATGAATACAAATTTTTGAAATTCAGATGTTCATAAGTGCACATTATGCTGGGGAAGACATGGTAGCAAAATTTGCACAAGATGAGGCATGGAAAAGGGTATTTGGTCCGGTTTTTACGTATGTTAACTGCGGGTCTAAAGAAGATGACTGGCATTGGTTATGGGATGATGCTAAAGAACAGGTTAATAACTACAATTTTACCTATGAATTTTTGGTGTATGTATTTTTTAAAATGAATTTCTCTCAATCATAAAGTACTGATACATAACAATATGCAGGCCGCGATTGAAGCTGATAGTTGGCCGTACACATTTCCAGCTTCTGAAGACTATCCAACATCTGAACAAAGGGGTAGCCTCTCTGGTAGATTATTAGTCCATGACAGGTTAGTTATTTTATTTACTCTGTATGATTTAATATACTTTGCTAACGATTTGGTGTCACATTATATATGTACGTGACTTTGTGTCGTGTCATAATTTTATTAAGATACCTCGTCTTCTATTTTCTAATGAAAAATAGAGAATGTTGGATTTCAACTCACAACCTCTGTCCCGACAGTTTTTATTTATATGTATACATGATCTTATGATATAGTGTCACTTTAACTAACCAAAACTTACATGAATTGTTAGGTATTTTGATGATGATCATATTCCAGCCAATGGAGCATATATAGGTTTAGCTTCTCCTAATGAATCAAAATCTTGGCAACTGGAAAGCAAGGTGATTGATTTACAACTATTAAAGCATAGTGAATATGATCTCAAAATGTTCGAGTACAGTGTTTGTTGTACATTGTTTATATGAATATATGATATAAATTGCATATAACAGGGTTACCAGTTTTGGACAACAACAGATGAAGATGGCTATTTCTTCATAGATAATATAAGAGCTGGTGACTACAATCTGTACGCTTCGGTCCCTGGCTTCATAGGAGACTATGTATACGACAACAATGTTTCTGTAACTCCAGGTCTTCAAATTAAACTTACTCCCATTTATACGAAATTTATACAAAATTTCCGGTGTCTAAGCATCAATCTTACATTACTACATAAGACTTGAAAAAATGATTTACAGAAAATAAATATGTACAGGTTGTGATATTGATATGGGGGAACTTGTGTATAAACCTCCAAGTGATGGACCTACACTGTGGGAAATCGGTGTTCCTGATCGAACAGCTAGGGAATTTTACATACCTGATCCAAATCCTAAGTATGTCAACAAACTCTATCTCAATCACCCTGACAGGTTAGCTCTCATATCATTGTCAAAGTTTCTGAATTGTCAAGCTTTTGCATATTGTTTAGCAGTGTTATTTAGGCTAATCACCCATTAGTAACTTTTATTAGTGTCAATTTTTTAAACAGATTTAGACAGTATGGTTTATGGGAAAGATACACCGAATTATATCCTGATGAAAATCTAGTTTACACAATTGGTGAAAGTGATTACGAAAAGGATTGGTTCTTTGCTCAAGTTACCAGGTAACTAAGGCATCATACTTTAATTAAATGTCATTAAAACTTTGATAAAAATGTTGTATGTATGCATCTTCCTGAAGTAATGTCTTTTGTCAGCGGTCATTTTTGACAATGGCTCAAAGGGAAATATATAACCAATCAAGACTTTAATAGTTTAATCTATATAAAATAGTTTCTATCAGTAATAATCAGCTTAAATTAGTTTCTATCAGTAGACACTTTCAATCAGTCGAGTTCTGTTCTTAATTAGTTTAGTTTGTAATGAGTATTCATAATTCCACAACCCAAATGGAAAAACAAGCCATAAGCAAAACAAATGTGCTCGCGTAAAGCGGTAAAGCTGTACAAGTACAACTAATGAATATTCACAAACAAAAAAAATGATTTTAAAAATATAACTGCAGGAAGAATGGGAATACATACCAAGGCACTACATGGAAAATCAAGTTCAACCTTGAAGAAGTTGATCAACATGGAGTCTATAAACTAAGATTGGCACTTGCAACTGCAAATTTGGCAGAATTACAGGTAATTTATTCACAAAAACATGTAACAAATTTATTTATTTTTATCTACCACATACAATGATTTTAAACTGGAGAAAATTTATTTTGTACATATGTATGTGGAAAACCATGTTTAGGTTCGAGTAAATGATCCAAAAGCAAAACCTCCGGTGTTTACAACAGGACTAATAGGGAAAGAAAACGCGATTGCAAGACATGGGATTCATGGGCTATATAGGCTTTATACTGCAGATATACAAGGAAATAAGCTTGTACAAGGTGACAATATAATCTATTTGACTCAGGCAAATGGTGGTAGCCCTTTTATAGGAATCATGTATGACTACATTCGCCTCGAAGGGCCTCCTGATTCTGATCAAAGTTAACGTTCCAAGGGTTATTTTCTCTGATGTATATAAACAAGATGATTATGTATATGCTGTCAATGCCACGGCAGTGAAATGTTATTATGTTATGACTGTCAGATAGAAGCAAGTTATTGATTATGTAGTATGGATTTTTCTGAAGTATAAAGCAATTTCAATCAATACTAGGAAAATCTGTATTAACTACTTTTTATTTAAGCATTCTTAATATATGTTTGAATGAATTACAAGGATCCTATTTTAATAAGTAGAGAGTTTGACAAAATGACAAGGAAGCTCTTCAAAGTACTAAGCATTCTTAATTATATGTTACCTAGAGATCATACAAAGCATTTTAGAGCCAGTATTTATAATGACACCTACAAGTGCCAACTCCGGAAAGGTTTGTTGTTATGACTTTAAGGTAATAAAATCAAACTTCTTAGGGAGTAGAGACTCTTTAGAGTGAGGATTCTCTTACCCTTTTCCCTCACTTTCAAAATCCCAAAAACATGGCGACAATTATATTTAAAAAGTACATATAGGAGAAGTAAGCGATATTTTAGAAAGACACTAAACTCATATTTGACTAATATAATAGAAATTTGGCTAAATATCTTTTTGTATATGAAATTCCATTGGAATAAGAAGTCATTGCCAAGGTAAGAAAGTAAAAAAGACAAATCCCCAATTCAATTGAGGCCATGTGAGTGCAATTTATTTCATGCTTGATCTCGAATTCAAGAATAGTTTTATAGTTATGTGCAGAAACACGAAATGATGCAATGTTTATACATCATCTTAATGTGTCACATAACGTCACATGCCCGTCCCTTCAAATATCGTAGTACATGTGTTGTGTGGTCTTTATATATTGTTTTCAAATTCGATACACGAATATGATGACCCAACGAACAACAAACTACAAGTGAAAGAGTAAATCAATTGTTCATTTCATGCTTCACACAATACCTAATAGTTAAAACAAATAATCATTTCCCTCTCCCTAAATCTCAAACCACCTTCAAAAATAGATCTAATAATTATTTAAACGAAACCAACATTACGTATCCACATCAAACACCAATTTCTCAACATCTCAAATAAATAAATTATACATCCCCACAACACCCAAATCAAAAAACACTAAATCAAATTATCCACAAACATTCCCATAAATTAAAACAAACAATAAAATCAAAATCAAAATTCATTAAATTATCCAAATTTCTTGGATTGCACGTCCTTTTATAAGAACATCCATCCACCAAGCGAGTAACGACCAAGTCAAGAGTAGGAAAAGGAACCTAAAAAGAACCCCCAAAAAAAGGAGGTCCAAAGATAAAGATTATTTATGCTTTAATCCTTTTATTTTCAGGGAAATTGATGCTTTAATTCTAGTTTAAATCCATAATTATAATTTTATTATATACAACTTGCTGCCTAATTAGGGGCAGACCATACATATAGTTGTACATATATACGCATACAGTTATACTAAAGTCTATAAATATTCGATATTTACCAAGAAAGGCTACAATTATCTACCATATTTCATACAGTGCAAATTTGATTAATCGTAGAAATTGTTTTGGTTGATCTAAGAAGGAAGAATGTCATCGTTGTCGTTGTCGTCGTCATCATCGAAAGCGAAATCGTGGATGTGTGGGTGTTGTGGCAATGGTGGGGGTGTGGAACCAGGCCCAGATGCACCAACTGATCAAGCTGTTCAACTTCAGATTCTTGATCGTTATGTAAGTGTCGGTGTTTTTATTTTCTAAATAAAGTTTTTATTTTTATTAAGTGGTTTTGGAATGTTTGTTATGTTGGTTATGTTTGGTTGTTTGTTTGAGCCTAGGGAATATATTTGATGTACTTTCTTTTATTGGATTGTCGGGTTTAAATGCACATATTCTCAAGTGCACCTAATAATTTATCTTATCTTTGTTACTTTTGTTAGTTTTGGACTTTTGGATGGTTACCTTAGGGTAATAAGAGTAGTTAACATCTGTAATAGTGTAAATTGAACTAGTAACGTAACAACTAAGTTCGAATTGATGGAGATAATACTCAATTGGTTAAATTGGTCAAGTATCAGGGCTCACCAAGTTGTTTGAGTCAAAATCAGAGCAATAATGTAACAAAAGGAATTTTTAGAGGCTTAATTTTGCTTTAAAGTAAGCTTAATTGATAGTGAATAACATATTGACATGGAGTAATATATCTTCAACCTTTGTTCTCTAGGAGATTATATTTCTGCATGGATTTTAAGCTGGAGTATGTACTTGCAGGTTGTGTTAGACAATGGCATTGCTCGAGTGACAATATCGAAACCAGGAGGAATTGTTACTGGAATAGCTTATAATGGCATTGACAATTTGCTTGAATCTCGAAATCCTGAGGACAATAGAGGGTAAACATTGCGTATAATCAGATTTGTACAATCATTTTGCTTAATGAATTCAATACTTCAATCAGTCTCTATATAGAATCTAGAAACAAAATTCAAGATAATGAAAGAAAAGTTGATCATAGCATGGGAAAAATTGCATTATTTTCGCTTGTTTTATGATATATTTAACTGTGTTATGTATGGCTGTATGCAGGTATTGGGATCTTGTTTGGAATGATGCTAATACACCAGGGACATTTGACACGTTTGTTCCTCTCGCCTTCATCTTTCTTAGTTTGTCAAAGTTAAATGGATAAACTTGTAAATTTTAGGCTTTGGTTTACAAATTTGATCAAGGCTATTTGCTGATTGTATGCAGGATTAAAGCAACAACTTTTCAGGTGATTATGTCAAATGATGATCAGGTGGAAGTTTCCTTTAGTAGACAGTGGGATCCTTCACTCAAGGGCAAGTTAGTCCCATTGAACATCGATAAAAGGTAGTTGCTTTAATCTTCGCCATAGTGTATAAACTACTTTTTATAGAGCACACTTCCTCTATATATTAGTACCCCTCTGTCTGGAATTAGTTGTCATGTTAATAATGTAATTTAAGCCAATAATCGTTATACTTTTAGGTTTATAATGTTGCGTGGCTCATCCGGGTTCTATACCTATGCAATCTATGAGCATATGAAAGATTGGCCTGGCTTCAGCATGGGTGAAACTAGGATCACATTCAAGCTCAATAAACAGTGGTATGAGGAAATTTATTTCTTTGGACAGGTTTCATGGCAAACCAAGTTAATTAGAAGAAGTTTTAAGTAACAAAGTATGATATGTTTTGTGTATTAGGTTTCACTACATGGCTATTGCAGATGACAGGCAAAGGTTCATGCCTTTGCCTGATGATAGGATGCCCGGAAGGTGCCAAAAACTTGCCTATCCTGAAGCTGTTCTGTTGACAAACCCTGTAGAACCAAGCCTTAAAGGAGAGGTATCATTTCCTCTTATCTCATGTAGATAAATGTTAATTATGCATTAATTTTAAGTATTTTGAGATTTGTTCAATCATGTTTGTGAGTTAATGAATTGTTATATTACATAGGTTGATGACAAATACCAGTATTCATGTGACAACAAAGATATCCTAGTCCATGGTTGGATTTGCACTGACCAGCCTACAGGATTTTGGCAAATCACACCTAGCTACGAGTATCGGTCTGGTGGGCCCGTCAAACAAAACCTGACATCCCACGTGGGGCCTACATCCTTATCAGTAAGTGAACGGACATTCAGCTAGTTGTACCAAAGAATTAAACACATAGAATATACAATATATGTATGGATTTTTCTTGCTGGTGTTATTTCTGTATGAACTTTGCTGATGAAAAACTATTGTGATTGCAGGTGTTTTATAGTGGTCATTATGCAGGGGATGCTCTGGTGCCGAAATTTGATGATAATGAGCCATGGAAAAGGGTATTTGGGCCTGTTTTCATCTACTGCAATTCCTGTCCAAAAGATGTTGATTTTCATTCGCTTTGGGAAGATGCTAAAAAGCAGGTTAACCTCTAAAACATTACTGGAGTACTATTAACATGCTTTTGTTTGATAATGTTTTGTAATCCTCATTGATTAGCACTGAAAATTGGTTTCTGACCATATATTTTGTGTTTCATTTTCATCCATGAGTAGTTGGTAGTAAAAACTCAGAACTGGCCTTATAGTTTCCCAGCTTCAGAAGATTTTCCGAAACCTAATCAAAGGGGTAAAGTCAGTGGCAGATTACTAGTCCGAGACAGGTTGTTTATAAAGACATTAAGCATTTATACATTCGTATTTCATTTATATTTTAATTTTTCACACTTGTGCTTTGGCGATAATTATATGGTTTATATCATTTTGTTTAGGTATGTTAGTGATGATCATATTCCAGCAAATGGAGCTTATGTGGGACTAGCCCCACCAGGACCACCTGGATCGTGGCAAACTGAAATCAAGGTAATTTTTCTTTTTTAGTACCATTTACAAGCATATAACTGAAATCGCTTTGACCTGACCATCTATGTCTCACCATATTATCACTGGTACCTTAATTTCAGCTCTACTTTTGTGCTAAAAACGGCTGTCATTTGTTCAATTTTCCAGGGTTATCAGTTCTGGACAACAGCAGATGAGAATGGTTCTTTCTCTATCGAGGGCATAAGAGAAGGAGATTATAATCTCTACTCTTATGTTCCTGGTGTCATTGGAGACTATAGATGTGATGCTGTCATTACCATAACTGCAGGTTTGATTAAATGAACAGTCATTCGTTACATAGTATCATGAAATTAGTGTAGCTTAAGCTATATAAGCTAATAAAAAATAGCACTTTACACTTTACAGTACTATATTGAACTTAAGTATTGAATTAATATCAGGTTGTGATGCACAAATGGGTGACTTGGTGTATGAACCTCCTCGAGATGGACCAACCTTGTGGGAAATCGGATTTCCTGATCGCACTGCAGCAGAATTCTATGCTCCTGATCCTAATCCTAATTATGTCAATCAACTCTATGTTAATCATCCTGACAGGTTAGCGAGTTTCTTAACAATTTAAAACACAATCTCTGTTGAAAAAACAGTCAACTTGATGTAGTTGCTCATATTTGACAACTATTTGCATGAAATCTTTGGCAGGTTTAGGCAATATGGATTGTGGGAGAGATACACAGAATTGCACCCAAATGATGATCTAATTTTTACCATTGGTGAAAGTGATTACCGAAAGGATTGGTTCTTTGCTCAAGTTCCTAGGTACGTAGTCTCAGTTTTCCTACAGAACTTGTACCACTTTCACTTGCTTGATACATATATGATCGTAAACCTGTGAAAAGAATGTCTGTTGTAATACATTTTTTCGCTGCCAAGTAACAACATTGTATCAAAGTGTAAGATCCTCTAAGAAAGCCTAGCTTATTTTGTCACACAGGAAGACAGAAAACGTGTTTGTAGGAACAACTTGGCAAGTTAAATTCAAATTAGATGAGGTAGATCAGAAAGGGATCTACAAATTGAGGCTGGCAATTGCTTCTGCTACCCTTGCTGAGGTTCAGGTAACATCTCATTTTCAAGCTCCTTTTATGTTCCATTCATTTAATAAATGTTCCGGTTTCACTTTTTGTTCTTTCTACTTGGACTAGTATTGTCTCTCAAAAAATTTAAAGTATTACAAACAAAAAGGGACAAAGAGGTATTAAAAACTGAAAATTACGAGGAAGCCCCAGTTAATCTCCGAGATTAACATTCCAAGTTAATTTCCTCTCACAACTTTATGCATTTGTTTTCGTGCCACTTTACTATTTCACAAGTAAAACAATGTTGTGAGAGGAGATTAACTTGAATTCTCCCGAAAATTACTAATTTGATCTTTAAGCCAGACTGAAAAAATGAATTACTCCCATATGTTCTTGATAATAATATAATCTATGAATTCAATCTTAATTTTCTTATATCATTATGTCCTTGTACATATTATATTTATAGGTACGGATGAACGATCGAAATGCAAATCGACCCATATTTACAACAGGACTTATAGGGAGGGATAACTCAATTGCAAGACATGGATGTCATGGATTATATTGGCTTTATAACGTGGACATACAGGGTTCAAAGCTTGTAAAAGGCGATAATATTATGTTTTTGACTCAACCAAGGAACCAAAGCCCATTCCAAGGAATATTGTATGATTATATACGTCTCGAAGGACCTCCTACCAATGAAGCAATCTAATACGAGTACCAAGGACTGACTCACTTGGTAATACTCTTACTTGAAATCATGATATATATATGTTTGAATTTTATCGAGTGAGGCTACCTTACCTGCAACTACGAAATGAATAAACTTACATCTCCTTACCTTTAATAATAAAAATAAAGTTAAAGCAGTGTAATAACCTCTTGTATTTTCTGCTATTATATTTTAGATATTATTTTATTTTTTCTGTATAAATTGATGTATTCATAATCTTGTAATTAAATAAATGATTGGATAAAGTGGCTGATTTATGATACCCAAATGTTTAGGTCCATTTCCTTTTGTTGCTATTTCAGCATTAATTCTGTTTTATACATAGTAGTAGTATTACTAGTAGTATATTCTAGAGAACCTTCAATATTTTTTTTATTTTTTTTTAAAGCTGGTTAGTTTTTAGAATTGAATTTTACAAATTTAATTTCAGCACAGCTATAATCTTTAAAAGTGTTCCTTCAAAAAAAAAAAAAAAAAAAAAAAAAAAAAAAAAAAAAAATATATATATATATATATATATAGAGAGAGAGAGAGAGAGAAAGGCTCATGTAAGAACCCTCCTCTATATAAGAACCCAATCTTATATAAGAACCAATCTCAGTCCTTTATTAGTTTTGATCTAACCACCTAAAATGATCCTTTAGTAATGGCGTTTCTGTAATTTTGAAAAGTTTACATTTAAAACATAGAAAAAAATTTAGAATATGGGAAAATTTTTAGAACATAAGCAGAAAAAATTTAGAACATACAAAAAAAATTTAGAACATAAGCAAAAAAAATTTAGAACATAAAAAAAAATAATTTAGAACATAAGTTGAAAAAATAATTTGATTTATTTTCATGTTTTACTATTAAGTTATTATTGTTTACTTTCGATTTTTTTTTATTTTTTTTTATAGAGATAACCTATGTAGGAATCGAACCTACATTCTCTATGCATTTGCATAGTGCTCTACCAATTGAGCTAATAGGTTTTAGGCCTTTTAGCATATGTTCTTCTTTTTTTCATTTACCGTAAATGTTCATAAGTTTTTTGCTAATACTTTAGTTTTTCAAAAGTATTTTTGCTAATACTTTAATTTTTTTTTCTGCCAATGCCTTTTTATATGTTCTAAATTATTTTCCTATCATCTAAACTTTTTTTATCCATTACTTAAAATTTTTCTGTCTATGCTTTGAATTTTCCATATATTTCTGAAAATTTTCACCATATGTTCTAAACTTTTTCTATCTATAATCTTAGAACTTCTCACCCTATTTTCTAAACTTTTATCCTATATACTAAATTTTTTCACCCTATGTTCAAAACTTTTTCCTATTCTAAACTTTTTCTGATGTACTAAATTTTTTCGCCCTATGCTCTAAACTTTTTTTCCTATGTTCTAAATTTTTTTCACCCTATGTTCTAAATATTTTCACCCTATGTTCTAAACTTTTTGACTATGTTCTAAATTTTTTTTTCATATTCGACATTTTTTATCTATGTTCTATATTTTTACCTATGTTCTAAAAGTTTTCATCTATGTTCTAAATTTTCTGTCTAAGCTCTAAATATATGTTCTGAATTATTTTCATATGTTCTAAATTTTTTCACCATATGTTCTAAACTTATGTTCTAAATTTTCTTTTATGTTCTAAATTATTTTTCCTATTTTCTACACCTTTTCTTAAGTTCTAATTTTTTTTTCCCTATATTATAAATTTTTTAAAATTTTTTTCACTTATGTTCTAATCTTTTTTCCCTATGTTCTAAAATTCTTATGTTCTAAATTTTTTTGTTGTGTTCTAAACTTTTTTTTTTCTATGTTCTAAACTTTTATCCTATGTACTAAACTCGATCTTATACCCATATTGAAAACTTGTATACCTATGTTCTAAATTTTTCTCTAATAATCAAAATATATGTTCTAAAATTTTGACTATGTTCTAAATTTTTTCCCCTATGTTCTAAATTTTTCTGCCTATGTTCTAAACATTTTTTTCTATGTTCTAAATTTTTCATATGTTCTAAATTTTTTACTTATGTTCTAATTTTTTTTGTTCTAAATCTATATTATTCTAAATTTATAATAAGATTAGTTTTCTTCACTTTTCGTGCACTACTACTCTAGCAATAACTAAGCAAAATTTGTGGCTTAATCAACCAAGCTATCTAGTTTAATTCCAAGATATGATAATTAGTTAAAATGACATGGAATCAAGAATAAAGATACCCAACTACATATATAAATAACAGCATCCAATTAGTCGGTCATCAACTCATCATGGCTCCACATATATATATACCCAACAATCAAATTCATATAATCTCAAAAAATTAGTAAGCCAAATTACCAAGCTAATACAAATACTAGCATTCTCTTTAGAAAACGCAAACAATATGAGCAGATATGAGTACGAGTATAAACAAGAGACGACTATTCTATGCCACAACTCACAGCCACCCCAACACCACAAGCAGTCGCGGACCACCAAATCACCATTCAGTAGCACCCCACGCTGCTCCTAACCACCGCACCACCGTTACTCACCCTCGATCTCCACCTTCACTCACTAAAAATGACGCCAAAAAGAAAAAAAATCGAAAAAATGGGCTGAAAAATCTAATAATCAAGAGCAGCGGTGAAATTACCCCATATTGCTGAAATTCGAAACTAAAATCGCTAAAATTCGAACATTAAAATCGCTGAAATTCCAGCCCTAAAATCACTGAGTTTGAACCCTATAATCGCCAAAAATTAACGAAAATCAAATCAGAATAGAATTCGAAGTGAATAATAGGACTTAATAATCGTACCCAAAAAAATCGAATAGAAATCGCAAGATGAAATCAAAAAATCGAAAGCAACAAAACAATTAAAAAAAATGGAACAAAAATCACACAGAAATCTAAAAATTGAAGTCGAAATTAAGAAAAAATTGAACATCATGCGAAATTTGAATAAAATCTAAAAAAAACGTACTTGATTTGAACAATTTAGGTTGGTTATGCGAAATTCATGCGAAATTTGAAGAAAATACTTCAATAAGTTCAATTTACAGGATTTGAGGAGAGAGAAAGTAAAGAGGATTGAAAATTTGAGGAGAGAGAAGATTTTGGACGGTTGGGGGAGGGTTTTTGGTTTTAATCCTGACCGCTCATCCTAATATAATCCTACGAATGAGATTGGTTCTTATATAACTAAGGTTCTTATATAAGGAGAGGTTCTTACCGGATCCCTCCCCTATATATATATATATATATATATATATATAGAGGAAGGCTCATGTAAGAACCCTCCTCTATATAAGAACCCAATCTTATATAAGAACCAATCTCAGCCCTTTATTAGTTTTGATCTAACCACCTAAAATGATCCTTTAGTAATGACGTTTCTGTAATTTTGAAAAGTTTACATTTAAAACATAGAAAAAAATTTAGAATATGGGAAAATTTTTAGAACATAAGCAGAAAAAATTTAGAACATACAAAAAAAATTTAGAACATAAGCAAAAAAAATTTAGAACATAAAAAAAAATAATTTAGAACATAAGTTGAAAAAATAATTTGATTTATTTTCATGTTTTACTATTAAGTTATTATTGTTTACTTTCGATTTTTTTTTATTTTTTTTTATAGAGATAACCTATGTAGGAATCGAACCTACATTCTCTATGCATTTGCATAGTGCTCTACCAATTGAGCTAATAGGTTTTAGGCCTTTTAGCATATGTTCTTCTTTTTTTCATTTACCGTAAATGTTCATAAGTTTTTTGCTAATACTTTAGTTTTTCAAAAGTATTTTTGCTAATACTTTAATTTTTTTTTCTGCCAATGCCTTTTTATATGTTCTAAATTATTTTCCTATCATCTAAACTTTTTTTATCCATTACTTAAAATTTTTCTGTCTATGCTTTGAATTTTCCATATATTTCTGAAAATTTTCACCATATGTTCTAAACTTTTTCTATCTATAATCTTAGAACTTCTCACCCTATTTTCTAAACTTTTATCCTATATACTAAATTTTTTCACCCTATGTTCAAAACTTTTTCCTATTCTAAACTTTTTCTGATGTACTAAATTTTTTCGCCCTATGCTCTAAACTTTTTTTCCTATGTTCTAAATTTTTTTCACCCTATGTTCTAAATATTTTCACCCTATGTTCTAAACTTTTTGACTATGTTATAAATTTTTTTTTCATATTCGACATTTTTTATCTATGTTCTATATTTTTACCTATGTTCTAAAAGTTTTCATCTATGTTCTAAATTTTCTGTCTAAGCTCTAAATATATGTTCTGAATTATTTTCATATGTTCTAAATTTTTTCACCATATGTTCTAAACTTATGTTCTAAATTTTCTTTTATGTTCTAAATTATTTTTCCTATTTTCTACACCTTTTCTTAAGTTCTAATTTTTTTTTCCCTATATTATAAATTTTTTAAAATTTTTTTCACTTATGTTCTAATCTTTTTTCCCTATGTTCTAAAATTCTTATGTTCTAAATTTTTTTGTTGTGTTCTAAACTTTTTTTTTTCTATGTTCTAAACTTTTATCCTATGTACTAAACTCGATCTTATACCCATATTGAAAACTTGTATACCTATGTTCTAAATTTTTCTCTAATAATCAAAATATATGTTCTAAAATTTTGACTATGTTCTAAATTTTTTCCCCTATGTTCTAAATTTTTCTGCCTATGTTCTAAACATTTTTTTCTATGTTCTAAATTTTTCATATGTTCTAAATTTTTTACTTATGTTCTAATTTTTTTTGTTCTAAATCTATATTATTCTAAATTTATAATAAGATTAGTTTTCTTCACTTTTCGTGCACTACTACTCTAGCAATAACTAAGCAAAATTTGTGGCTTAATCAACCAAGCTATCTAGTTTAATTCCAAGATATGATAATTAGTTAAAATGACATGGAATCAAGAATAAAGATACCCAACTACATATATAAATAACAGCATCCAATTAGTCGGTCATCAACTCATCATGGCTCCACATATATATATACCCAACAATCAAATTCATATAATCTCAAAAAATTAGTAAGCCAAATTACCAAGCTAATACAAATACTAGCATTCTCTTTAGAAAACGCAAACAATATGAGCAGATATGAGTACGAGTATAAACAAGAGACGACTATTCTATGCCACAACTCACAGCCACCCCAACACCACAAGCAGTCGCGGACCACCAAATCACCATTCAGTAGCACCCCACGCTGCTCCTAACCACCGCACCACCGTTACTCACCCTCGATCTCCACCTTCACTCACTAAA